CTGTTATTATAAGATCATTATCACAAGATTATACTATCATAATCAGATAATTCTATTGCTGTCAGATGGTCCTTCTACTATCAGATAGCATCGTCATGATCAAATGACATTATCATTATCAGATGATAGTATTACTACCAAACTGTGAAATAGTATTATTATTGTTAAATGATCATCAGATAACATTATCATTATTGAATGATATTATCATTAATGGATGATATTATTTTATTAACTAACCAGTAAGAATGAACGATTTCAATTCCATATCCATTTTCTTTTTTGAACCGTTAAATAATTCATAATTCAAATTTACTTAGTATTTTTAAATTAAATTTTTTTCATTTTTTCCTTCAAATAGATATTAAATTTTTTTAGACAATATTTTTATGATTTTTCCATAAGAATTTAATTACTTGATAGATAGCAATACGAGCAATCGATTCTTCGACACCTTCATGGGGCCAAGTATATCCGACAACAATAGCGACAGCTCCGCCAATCAAGAGGATTAAGCCAAGAACAGTCAACAGACGACAAAGCCAAAGTCCTGTACGTTGTGCTGGTGGTGGTGGCAAAAGATACCTGGAGAAACTTTGAAACTTTTTCGAAGAATCATCTATATTTGAAACTTTTTGCTTAATGCATCATTTTCAAGAACACTTAATCAGTACAGATTAATACTAAAAAAAAAATATTACTTTATCTTATAAGTTTTAGAAGAATACTATTATAATTTTCCGATAAATCCTCATGAAACACTTCTTTTTGATCCACATATAATTAACACTTCATATAATTATTTAGATATAATTAATACTTTCATTTGAAACTTCAACAATCCCACATTAATTTACTCCTAATTAATACAAATTAATATTTGAAAATATTACTCTCAAGATAGATACATTTCTTTGGAAATATTAATTTTCTTTTTTCCCCTAGTTTCTTGTTACTGAAATTTTTTAAAAATATCATATACAACAATAATTTAGAATATTAAAATTATTCTTTCATTGTCCATTTCATTTCCAAATAATTAATCTAATCCTATTTAATTAATTAATAAATAGATAAATGAGTAATTTTGATGTCATTTTTTTTATTGTATCACACCTTTTATTTGTTATAGAAATATTATTAAATGAATATAAAGTTTTTATCAATTATTTCTAGCAATAATTGTTATAAAAGTTGGTTAATAACGGGAAAAAAACTACTTCTTATTGTAATAGCATTTTTATTTAGTCATTAAAAAGTCTCATCATTTTTAATAATATTTATTAAAATGATATGTAATATTTTTGGCTTATAATTGAATGTATAAATGAACCGTTGCTTTGGTAAAAATTTTCAAGCTGATATTATGATAGTAACAGAATGTTTAGTAAATTACTAGTTTAGTAAGGAATATTTAAGTTAATATTATGACAATAACTGGTTGTATATACCAGGCCCCAGCTGATTCAATATCTTCAACAGCTGGTGATTGATAAAACTGATGAAGATATGAACGGATTCCAAAACCTTTTCCTGGAGTTGTTACGCCATCGAGTAGTGCTGTTGGTTTTGAAGTGCCTAAAATGCAAACATTTTTCAATTTTGAAAAAACGACTTTAATTATTTTAAATTAATACTTAGAATGTTTATCATAATTTAATTATTATTATCAATTTCATATTATTTCCCCATTATTTTTATGGCTACGTACCTTTATTTTTTTTTTTGTTTTTTAATTATCTTTATGCAACACTTTTTTTTTTTTGAAAAAAAAGGAAGAAATTATGAATTTATAAAATTACCATTATCAGTTGCATTATCCTTTTTGGAGGCTAGCCCACGACCAAATATGGTCATTGTTGGCTATCACTATATCTCAGGCCAACACTAATTCTTGGGCCTGCAAATTAGACAATAATTAAGCAACTATTTGTTATGCTTATAAGATCGGCAACAATCAACAGAAACATCTTTAATTTCCTATACGAAAATTTTTATTATAAGATGCTATAAATTAAGAAATAATAAGTGTGATACGGTACTTTGGAGGTGAAATAAAAGATAAAAGTTCAACTATGAAATGATCTGATTGCATCATTATTGGGCTAAATTCAATAATCTAGGCATGTTTAGTTGCAGAATATCAAACATAAAGAATTGTAATATTACTTTAGAAAGGTCAAATATCAAGAAATTTGACCTAAATATTGCTAACAATAAGATTGTTAGCAATAGAATATATAAGAAAAAAGATAGCAGCAAATTATATTGAATTTTTGATAAAATTCAAAAGTTAATGGAAGAAAACACACACATACAAATTTGAAAATTAGCAAGTAAAGATGAAAAAAAAATTGTAACAAAGAAACAAAAAGACTTGATGAATAACTGATAAAATGATAAGACTTTGATGAATTAATACAATGCATCTTATCATATCCTTTAATTGATCAATTTTCAAAACAAATTAATTTAAGTTTTTATTTCTATTTAAATTCATAAACAAAAACTTTGACTTCCAATAATGTACAAAGAATAGAATTTAAGAGTAAAAATTTGCGATTAATATAAACTATATGATAAGATAGATCCAGTGAATAACTTATAATGAGGAAATGTGAAGAAAATAATAGCCAAATGTTTGTGCCTAAAGTGGCAAATGATTGTGTTGCCTAGAGAACTAGGCACTTTTTTTTCCACATATCATATATTGAAAGTAATGTGTGCAATGCATAGATACACAGTTATCGATTCTTTCTTAAGAGAAGAGCCTTTAGATAGGAGAGGCCTAAGCATGCTAGGCTCAATAATCTCTCGCATATATGGCATAACTGAGTGTTATTGAAATGTATAGTTTTAGACATCCATTGAAAAAGTCAAACTATTTTATGTTAGGCTAATTTTGTGAAAAAGAAAATCAGTTAAAAGGAAAGATGAGAAAATTTACAAAAAAAGGGTAGAATAATGAAATATTGAAATAAATCGAAAATTCTGCAATAATTCCAAAAATATTTTCTAAATTTCACATTTTTCCGCAAATATTTCGAAAATTTTCAACTTTTTTATAAATATTTTTACAATTTGAATTACAAATTGTTCGCAATCAATTAGAAATGAATAATTGAATAGATTTTTTTATAATAGAATAGATTTTTCGCGACTAATCGGGAATGAATAAATTGAAAACAACCAGAAATGAATAATTGAGTTGAATACGAAGTGATGAAAATTTATAAAACGAAATATTCGAGTAACACAGTATATATTTACAGCATATATGGATTATTTCGCGAAGAAATTAACAGAAATACTACGAAGTAGTGAAGATAATTGCTATCTAGCTTATAATATTTCAAATAATTTGTTATTAAATATTATTATTTTCCAGTTTAGCAAATACCATTGTTTTCAAATTTTTGTCCAATTTTTTCAGTGCATTTGCTCTTTTTTCCTTCAATTTTTGTTTTCGACTTAATTTGCTTTTAAAAATAGTTTATAAAAGTGACAGATTTTTATAGTATTAATACATATCTAATTAACATCTTTGAATCTTAAATAAGAAGACTTTTCTTCTAATTTCTCTATTTATTTACATTATTTATTTACTTTTTTTGAAAAAAGTTTAAAACTCATTTCGTCATAATGATTTATTATAAGTATTTGTGGCTGGTTTTTTTTCGTTCCTAATGAAAACAATCATGAATATGTTGAAATAAATCAATAAATGAATGAATAAATGAATGAATGAATGAATGAATGAATGAATGAATAAATAAATAAATAAATAAATAAATATATATATATATATATATATATATATATATATATATATATATATATATATATATAT